CTCATCAATTCACATAATGTGTCCTGGTTCAAAAAAGGACAAAATTGTACCAAAAAAATCAGTCTTTAGGTTTCAGCTATATAAAATTGTTTATAGTAGGCGTCAGATCATCTTAAGAATAGAACATGAATTTTCTCATAAATTTTAGAACTTTAATAACATACTCCATCTTTATAGAGATTTAAACCAGAGTTAACTGTCTCATCAATTCACATAATGTGTCCTGGTTCAAAAAAGGACAAAATTGTACCAAAAAAATCAGTCTTTAGGTTTCAGCTATATAAAATTGTTTATAGTAGGCGTCAGATCATCTTAAGAATAGAACATGAATTTTCTCATAAATTTTAGAACTTTAATAACATACTCCATCTTTATAGAGATTTAAACCAGAGTTAACTGTGGTATTAAGGTCACAGACTCACCTTCACAAGGCACTTCTTAGTTTAATCTGGAAGAACATTATGCCACTCTGCTGAATAATCTTATCTTCCTAAGTGAAGCAGCTCGTTTGGGGACAGTTTTCTCAAATCAAGATTCCTGCTCTTTCCATTCAAGATCTAGACAGAAATAATGTTTAGGTTTGAAGAAGTACTCAGTGTATGCTCACAAATGCCCCAAATTCTCTCTTATGATGTGACTCCTTCCCACTCTACAAAAGGAGGCAGATAACTGGAAGAGTAATCTATCAGCACATTTCACTCATCTCACCCTTCCAAGTGCTGCCTACCCAGATAGAATAAAGTAGCTCAGGCATGAAAAGGTGTGTGAACCGAGTACTCTGTGCGCCAGCCTTCATGAGCTGGAGAATTGCTTCTAGGGGAAAGTTAAAGCTAAAATAAGTTTGAGCTTTCTCTAGTTCTGTTTTCATTTGAGTTGCTCCAAATTTGGGAAGCAAAGCCTCTTTGTGCCTGCCATCAACCCCGGAACTAGGCTTTAAAGGGGGATTTAAATGACAGTAAGGAGGGCATTTGGTAGATAAGAAGCCGAAAGATGTTCCAAAAGTAGGAACTGTTTGAAAATAACACAATATTAGGAATGGTAGGAAACAGGAAAAGAAAGCAGCAAGGAAAGAAGATTGAAATAGGGTTGCGAACGGCTAGTTGCTTCCCCCACCCCTCCATGCTGTCTCTATCAGAAAGAGGAAAGGGGTATTTCAAAGTGGCAGCGCTATGTGAAGCCCGGGGTTAGCCGGGACCCTCCCCCCCCCCACAGTTAACCCTGGGCCCCATGTGGTGTTGCTGCTTCAAAATGCCATATGGAGCCTGATATCGTGTTCCCCGTGGCGTTTCAAAGAAGCAGCACTGCATGGAGTCAAGGATTAGCTGGGGACTCTGCCGCTTTGAAACACCATGGGGAGCACGGGGCCAGCGGGGGACTCAAGCAGTCCCCCGTTGACTCCATGCTCCCTGCAGCACTTTCGCCTTTGAAGTGTAGCAACAGCACTGGGGCTGTTGCTACACTTCAAAAGTGGAGGCTCCCTTATTGACTGATTGAATAGTCGATGCATATCGACTGTTTGATTAGCCAATATATCTAAATTTATCATCCCTAATTGAAAGCAGAATAAGGGATGATGGGAGTGACACAGAGTATAAAACTAGAACATAAATACAGGTGGGACAAGATTTTTAGGGCTTTGAAGGTAAATGTGAAATTTTTTAAAAATTTGATTCAAGAAGCAGGTGGAAGGTTAGACAAGAGTGCAATATTATGGTAATAGTGGTGTAAACACCCCTAGATAAATAGTGTGTGAAAGGGGAAAAAGAGAGAACTTCAGTGGCAGCTAAGCTGCATAGACTAGAGTTGTAGAGGTACAATGGTAGAAGACCAGAGTGGTGAAATCTAAGATATTCAATACAAGAGATGACCATGTGAGTAGTGAAGAATACCAGATTTTGGTGATGGTATTAAAAAGAAAATGTAACAAAGGTTAGCAAGAGACAAGATGTGGAAGGAGGAAGAGAAAACTCAAGGATGATTCTGAAATGGTGAGTCTGAGAAGAGGGAAGGAACAGCAAAGAGTGCTCAGAATGGAGGATAAATTCAGTTTTTAAGAAAATAAATTTGAGGTGGTTACAGGCCATCCAAGTAGAGGTATCTGAGATGCAATTGGAGATGCAAGATTCAGTAGCTGGAGTTGGAAGCGGTGCATAAAAGTGAGGGATGAAACCATGGTAGCTCATGGGGTCAGCAAGAAAGACAATATACATATGATCTAAAAAAAGTCCTGTCTTTTCTAATTTCTGTTAATCAGATTGTCATGATTTACTGTAGGTGTGTCCAGTTATATAATTGAAGAAGATGAAGACGACAAATACTCAGATAATTAAAATGTAAACTTCAGTAGTAGGCTACCTACAATAGCTGCAGAATCTGTTCACTACATGGATAGTGGAAGAAGGTTGCATAGAATGTATAGTGTTTTTGTATTTTATGTTGCATCATTCATTTGAAATTATAAGTAATAAGGAAATAAAACTGCAGCACTATAAAATCTTAATGTCTTACATGAGGCTTCAGCTATGCCATCCTCATTTAGATTAGTTCTGGGATGTGGTTAAATTCCTCTATACTAAGTGGGGAAAAAAATCTGTGAATATCCATGTTCATAACTTGGTAGTAATGAGAACAGATAACAGTATCAAGTACAATGTAAACCAGGGCTACTCAACATGCGGCCCGTGGCCTGTTTTTTGCGGCCCATGGGTGGGAGCCAAAACAGAGTAGTCCATATAATGGTCTACTGGTGATATATGTTTTAGTAGTTAAATTCCTGGACTGTCATTTCTCATTAAAAGTGCTGTCATATGGGTGGAAATTGCGTAAATATTGTATTTTATTACTATCAGTAGAACTGACTTAAATGGAGCCTGCATGTTGTATAGTCTTGCCTTTATCTTTATATTCATGCCCGTCAGTGTAAAAGAAGCTTTTTAAATATATTTGCACATATATTTGCATGCATATGCAACCACACTTTAGTTGTGGCCCTTGGCATTTGCTGTGAGTATCATTGTGGGCCCTGGGGCTTCCAAAGTTGAGTAGCCCTCATGTAAACCTTACTTCTAGAAACAATCACTCACTTCAACAATAAATAAGTTTGACATTGGAGAACAAAATGATAATCATATTCCAAATGCAGAGACTTAGATAGAGAAATGGAAGTATTGCTATACTGTTTCCATCTAGATACTGTAATTCCTATGCCTTGAAGAGCTTTACACCTGTACAGAATCCACTCCGTATAATACCCTCCTGGCCAAGATCATACTGGTTTAATTATTTTTTAAATTTAATTTTGCCCCAGTGTCTCTTCATTGTGAAAGATGGAATTTTTTTCCTAAATAAATACTAGGATAACATTACATTTTTCCTCTTTAAGGAACTAATTTACATGGGAATATGTGTAATTAATTCATAAAATCTAATGTGCCATAGCTTTGCAGATTATTTTACAGTTATTAAAAAGACAAAATTTCTGCCTTTAATCAGTAATCTTGAAGCCTTAATATTACATCTGTAATGCAAGAAATGCCCTGTTCTTTAGGTGAATTCCATTGAATAACAGTGAGTTCCTGTAAAAGAGAGGTTATTAAAGACAGGCAGATTTCTTTTTTTAGTCTTCATCAGACAAACAAACAATTAAGACAGCAAAGAACAGAAGTTAAAACAGAGATATTCTGACTTACTTTATAATGTGAATGGATCTTTGTAAATTTTGTTTATTTTTCATTAAGAACAAAATAGGTAAGAGGTGAGAAAAAAGTAGCACAGGAGTCAAAGCAGCATTCAAAATTATGTTGTCTGAACAAATGAATATATGACAGAGATCAAGTATTCTGTTTGCCAGAATGAATTTAATTACAGAGATTTGCTGTTTTTAATTTAATTATAAAAAGTCAAGTGAACTTGTCTTTTACTTACTATTGGAACTACTCTCAAAATCAAACCAAAATGTTTATATTATTTAGGTTCATTATTTCATTTTTTATACAAATATGGAAGAAAAGAAGAGGGAGAACTAGAGGAAAATAACAGATACTTAAAACTTTTTAAACCACTGACATCTTGAAATTTTAAATTTATTTTTTAGAAAATGGGGTCAAATAATGCAAGAAGTATGAAAGAATGCGGGTGTTGTTATCAGTACATTGTCCAAAATACGTTTTTTGGCATCTTGAAATTATCCTCTGCAATCTTTTGTAACACTTTCATAGATTTACTGTACCTATCTGGACTTGGGGGAACAGAGATGGGAATAAAAACTTTTTACTTAAAATGTTCCCTTTTTGAATGAGACTTTCTTGGCACGATAGTCCCTTTTTGCTTTTCTTCATAGTTTTTTGACATATTAGTGAGTATGACAAAAATTGAGACGTATACGAACAATCACAGATTGCTTTTTCAACAGGAGCATGCTAAATCCTCTTTTTTGTTACTTCCAGTAGAAACTAGTAATATTTGCCAAGGTTATTATGTGGAATAAACCTTTGCTTCTCTGTTTTTATTTTGTTTAAACTATATTTTTATATAATGACTGTTCTTAGGTGAAAAACCATTTCGCTGTGATGAATGTGGTATGAGGTTCATACAGAAATATCATATGGAAAGGCACAAGAGAACTCATAGTGGAGAGAAGCCTTACCAGTGTGAATATTGTTTGCAGGTAAGATGGTTAATTGAAATAATTCACATGATTGAAATAACAAAGCTGATTCTGAAGTTATACACATAAGAATTTCTCTAAATTTTGAAGTCTGACAATCCTACAGATTGCTGTAGAAAAATTATAGTAATGCAAACTGTATGTTGTAGGCAGCCTTCCGCTGAAGTGAATTAATGAGTATATTTCTTACGTCAAAGATGGCTTTTCTTATTTACATTTTTCTCTAACTTAAAAAAAATCCTCTACAGTACTTTTCCAGGACTGATCGTGTGCTGAAACATAAACGCATGTGCCATGAGAGCCGTGACAAGAAACCTAATAGAAGTGCTACCAAAATTGGCCTTTTGACATCAGAGGAAGATCCTGGCTTCTCTACACCCATGAAAGACAGCTCCTTGCCAAAAAAGAAAAGGCAGAAAACAGAGAAAGCAAAGTCTTTGGACAAGGAAATTGGAGATAAATCAGAACAGAAGAAGGATAAAAATGACTTCTTGCCTTTGTATTCTGCCAGTGCTAAAGTAAAGGATGAATATATGGTGGCAGAATATGCTGTTGAAATGCCACATTCTTCTGTCAGCGGGTCACATTTAGAAGATGCAAATTCTGGAGAAATACATCCTCCTAAACTGGTTCTCAAAAAAGTTAATAGTAAGAGAAGTCTAAAACAGCCACTTGAGCAAAGTCAGACCATTTCACCTTTATCTACATATGAAGAAAACAAGGTTCCAAAGTATGCCTTTGATCTTGTGGATAAACAAGGTTTACTGGACGCTGATGGTAATGCTGACATTGACCAAGTTGATACTTTACAGGAAGGACCCAGTAAACCTGTACACAGCAGCACTAATTATGATGATGCAATGCAGTTTTTAAAGAAAAAGAGGTATCTGCAAGCGGCTAGTAATAATAGTAGAGAATATGCCTTGAATGTAGGTACTATAGCATCTCAACCTTCAGTAACACAGGCAGCTGTAGCAAGTGTCATTGATGAAAATACCACAGCATCCATATTAGATTCACAGGCACTGAATGTGGAAATTAAAAGTAACCATGACAAAAATGTCATTCCAGATGAGGTGCTTCAAACCCTATTAGATCATTATTCCCACAAAGCTAATGGACAACATGAAATATCTTTTGGCGTGACGGATACTGAGGTGACCTCCAGTATATCGATCAATTCTTCTGAAGTATCTGAGGTCAACCAGTCTGAAACTGTTGGAACAAGCTCTCAAGCTTCCTCATCAGATAAAGCCAGTATGTTACAAGAATATTCAAAGTTTCTACAACAAGCATTGGACAGAACTAGCCAAAATGATGCCTATTTGAATAACCCGAGCCTTAATTTTGTGACTGATAACCAGACTCTTACAAGCCAGTCAGCATTCTCTTCCATAGACAAACAGGTCTATGCGTCTATCCCTGTTAATAGCTTTCGATCGGGAATGAGCTCTCCATTAAGAACAACTCCAGACAAGTCTCATTTTGGACTAATGGTTGCTGATTCCCAGCACTCTTTTCCCTTTTCAGGTGATGAGGCAAATCATTCTTCCTCCTCTTCTACACAGGACTTCTTGGATCAAGTGACTTCTCAGAAGAAAGCAGAGGCACAGCCTGTCCATCAGGCTTATCAAATGAGCTCCTTTGAGCAGCCCTTCAGAGCTCAATACCATGGAGCAAGAGCTGGAATATCATCTCAGTTTAGCACTGCCAATGGACAGGTGAACCTGCGAGGACCAGGGACAAGTGCTGAATTCCCAGAATTTCCCTTGGTGAATGTAAATGATAATAGGGCTGGGATGACTGCTTCACCTGATGCCACAACGGGCCAAACTTTTGGCTAAGAAAATCTTTGTAAATAATATTGGCACTTTAGAACAGATCTGCCGAGAGTGGGGTTGCTCTGTATAAGATGCAGTGCTGTACAGCTTTTAAGAACATTGTGTTATAACAAAAATAAGCTGATATAGCAAGATCAGTAACTTCATTTTTTGGTTAGTAACCAATCATTGAACTGCTTTACATGTTGTCTCCCCTATAAAAGGCAGTTTATTACTTACTTGTTTGAGACCAGAAACTTGCTATTTTACATACACTTAAATTTGAAGCAAACAAACAAACGAAAACAAGTACCACCCAAGGTAATGTTTCCTCCCATAATAGTTTCCTATTTAGTTTCATTGTACGTTCTTGGGAGAACAGTAATTGTCTGAGATTATTCATGTTGTCATTTTCTAAGCTTGTCAGTGTAGCCATTGCTCTTCCGCAGGGAATCTAAATATACTAAACAAAGTAAACTAAAAGTTTAAATGTCAAGAGATTATGGTGAAGCAACATTGGTGTATTCTATGGAGATACCCTTACTTCCCCCTCTCTTAAAATGAAGTATATGTCGTATGCCCTTTATATTTGCTTTGCATTACACTGAGCTGTGTTTTCAAGGAAAAAAGTAGTAATAAATTCTGATAGACTAACTCCATTATTTAAAAGTCTAATTAATTTAAAATACTTTAAAACTTTTTTAGCAAAATATATGTCTGCTAATGCATTTACTTCAGTCTTGAAGTGTGTTGCATATTTCTTTGTACAGTTGAACCTGGATATAACTTTTTTATGATTCTTTCACATACAGATATCAAGAGGTTGAAGTTTTAGTTAAAATAATCTGTAGGTTACATTCCCAATTGCAGAAAAGCTTACACAAATGGTGTATCCCGAGATTTTAAAGCTTTAATTGTACTTTGCCCTGATTATTCACAATGATTAACAAAGAGCACTTAGATTCTTTTTGATATTTTTTGATTTCTCAAAGAATAAAAAACTATTTTAGATTTTTAGGTTTGTTATGGCTGCATCATTATCATTTCATACAACATTGATTATTATCTTTTAATATAAAATGAGATTAGAATTTCTTCACTTCTGTAAAAACTGGTTTAATTCTTTCTGTCTAGAACTTTGACAATTCAGATAATTAAACATACTAAATCATCCCAGGAAGCTGAAGAAGTAGGCCTTCTAATTGAATATCTTTTAGTGAATGAACAATGTTCATTACATTTTACCAAAACTATTGACTAATGCTAGTGAACAGAATTTCTTTCTCCATACAAATGAGTGACCCGAAGCTTTTGTTGCATTTCACAGTATAAATAAACTACAAACTTTATCCCTGTATCATGAATATGTTTTTTTAATAGTACTTGGCTTGATGTATGCAGAAAGGTACGATAAATAGTTTTCTGTGCATTTTTAAAGGGGTTAGGGTGGAATAATATAAATATGCTGTGTAGTTTAAGTTAACTTTAAAATTTTGAACTCTAGACTCATTCCTTTGAACCTTTCCCTAGAGGGGACGCTGTCAGGTAGTTTAAGGCAATTTAAACCTAACATCACCCAGCAAGTGGGGATACAGATAAGGATGCTTACATCCTTTTACAGCACTGTTCCTGGCTGATGTCTCTCAAATGAAACCATCAGCTGGGAGAGGAGGTTGAACGTCATCATGCTGAAGAACACCCTGCTAGCAGATTTGAGCAGTGGGAGAGTGCAGCTTAACCTTTCCCAAAATAGTACCACATTTTATTGTTTTAATGGGACCCTGGTCTCAATCCCTCCCTCTCTACACCTTGTGTGGTCATTATAGTTGTCGTATAGTAGTTGTAGTGTAGTAAAATGGGCCTTTCTTGGGCCCATTTTAGGAAGAAAGTTTATCTGGAATCCATAGACTGCATCTCAAGGGTATTATTTACATGAGCTTCCTGCATATCTCATTTGTATACAGTGAGATCAGTTTCTTGTTGCCCTGTGATAACCTTAATTATTAGGAATCATTGGTCCAATGTGCAGCTGTTTTTGATACTGCAAGTTCTTATATACCCTACTACAGTAGCAGTTATAGTAACTGGTCTGAAGATATGGCCCTGAGTTAAACAGAAAAGTAAACATCAAGGGAGAAAAGCAAAACCATTGTAGAATATTAGTGACACATAAGAAAACACCTTTAAAAGAATTATTGTTAATCTCCTGTCCTACTTGCTTAGACATAGATGTACGTATGGCACCTAACTCACAAGAATATACAACCTATCATGAAGCAGGTACCTCATTTCCATTAAATATTACCTCATCACATCCTCACTTTAACTGCCCCCATAGTGCTACATTGGCAACTTCAGTTTAATGTCCTGCCATTTCAAATATCTGTCTATTTATTTACTGCCATTATAAGAAAAATCCCTTGGAGCTAGATAATCAAAGCACTTAGTTAAATACATGGGAATAAGATGAAGTAAGGCCTACTCTGCCCTCACCAGAGTGATGACATTGGATATGTTGAAGAGGGCAGGAGCTTACTCTCCCAATACTCTTGTAAGAAAATGCGGGTGGAGGAACCTTGGCTCTACTCTTTCTATTCATTAGCCAGAATAGTTAGCTTGGGGCATAGAGGTGAGTAAACTGTTTTACACAAAGGGTGAAATAACTTGCTTCCTCCTAGAGCAGGGGTGAGGAACCCGCTTGCCTGGGTCTGGCCCGCGAGGCTCAGGGTGCCCTCTCCCCCAGCATTGTACAAAATCTACTAGGCATGGGCCCCCTAGACTCCGAGAGGGGAACGTTGGAGTGTATTTCACCCTCTCTGTTGGGGGCCACCTCATTAAGGGTTTGGGGGTGTTTTGCATCTGTGTGGCCCCCCTACTGATCTTTCTGTGGGTCAGTGGCCCCTGACCCAAAAAAGGTTCCCCACCTCTACCCTAGAGCAAAGTTGGGTTATGGAAGGAAGATAGGCTTTCTGAGTCACAATTCATTCTCTGGTTTGCTTCTGGGGCATTACAGCTGTATTTGGTGCCTTAGGTTGCTTAGCATTTTCATAACTGGTTGTAAAGTTCCCACTCTATCCAATGGTAATTATTTTGTTGATCTACTTTATACATGTTCCTAGCCTCTATCTGTCAGAGGGTGGAGATGGATGGCAGGAGAGAGATCGCTTGATCATTACCTGTTCAGTTCACTCCCTCTGAGGCACCTGGCATTGGTCACTTTCAGCAGACAGGATACTGGGCTGAATGGACCTTTGGTCTGACCAGTATGGCCATTCTTACGTTCTTATATAATTAAAGGCAGTGCTGATTGATTGTTAACCCATGGAAATGTAGGGCTTTTCTACCTGCAGAAATTTAAGAGCAGAATTTTCCCAATATGATTGTGTTGCTACAGTTATTCCAGGATTGTTCTGCTGGTAAATTTATCTTTTTTTTTTTTATAAGCCAGTCTTTTTTAACAAGTTTACCATTTTAAAAAGTATTTTCTCCTTCAGCATATTTTATTTTTTCCTATCCTAATGCACACAAACACGTGATTTCCCCTTTTGATCTGGCAGATGTTTATTTTCATCTGTGCCACTAATGTGTTTGAATAACTAAAAATGAAAATGACGTTTTCTTTGTTATATTGTTCATGTGCCAACATTATTTAGTCAGAGTACTTTAGGAATAGCATTTACACCCCAGCAATCCAACTGTAGCTCTTATTTTATGACTTGTGAAAGGTGTGGGCACATGTGCACATAAGGTGGATTTTTTTATGTCTGGTTTTTTTCTGTGACAAGGTAACAATAAATTTAAAGATATATATTTAGGAAATTGAGGGCATCTGCCCCCAGACAATAATAATTTTAAATAGGTAGGATTTTGGAGCTAAATTACTTGACAGTATCCCTGTTAGCATTAGTCTTTTGTTAGGTTTTAACATGATTGCAACTACTAATGAAGGAATTGGCTTGCAATGATATATTAGTAAGCACCTACATTTTCTTGTACTGGTTTGAAAGTGAGTTAATGATAAATGATAGAGTTTGCAGAAGAGGATAGCATTATGTACTACTATACACTTTATAAACAGTAATATGAAGAATTTAAATCAGGCTTTCCAATACATTTGTTCATGGTCCTGTAGGTCTCATAGTGTTGCCTATGGGAAAATTATGATGCAAGGAGAAAATACAACAGCCTCTAACAAGCTCATGTTTGCTTATCATTTTCATAACTTTTTATATTGTAGGTTGTCAATATTTTTGGAGAAAGGGAGCAGTTCAATGATAAAGGGAAAATACAGTAAAATCTTTCTAATTCGCTGATTGCCTATCAAAGCACTGCCTAATACTTACCCACACAATCTTCTTTCGCCCTACTTTGCAAAGTATTAATAGTAAAAATAATGTAGTGAGGTCTCACTTTTGTCAGACTGTGTTACTTCAACCAAGCATACTACGGAACTTTTATCAGTATACTCTGAAGTAGTATAATGAAAACTAACTACAGTTGTTGCACTAAATGAACAAACTACATTTTGTGATGTGATATCCTGGCCTTTGTTTGCTTACTTGCTACTTCTCAAAATTCAGTCATTTTGAATGGTTTTCCAAGTCATTACTGTGCATTAATGAGGTTCTGCTGTAGCTTTTTCCAAAACATTTGTTTTTCCCTCTGAAAAATCAGAATATATATTGTTCAGAATACTAAGTTTGCATCATGTGCAGCAAAAATTTGAAAATTACCCTAGTAGTTGGATTAATCTGATCTGATTTTTGCAGTATTGGATTATTCTGTATATAACTTTGCAAACTGAATTTTCTTGTTAGTTTTTTTTAAATTAACTTAATTACAAATTGCAGGGAAAATCCTAATATTCCTGGGAATACATTTGGAAACTCTAGCAGGAAGAAATATATCTGTGCTATGGATACTTTAGTTGTTAGTAATACACATGTGAACTTTCAAATTATATGGTTAGTACTAAGGCATAATAATGATTTTATGCTTTATTAGTGTTAAAAGTTCTTCTAGATGGGAAGCCTTGTAATTTTGAAAGTTCATTCATTTTATGTTGGTGCATGTTTATGTTAAGCATGTAACATTAAACTAGAATTCACTTTTGCAACAAATATGTACTAAGAAAGTATTACTGAATGAAAAACATCTTTGAGTTTAAATTTGAACTTTTGTTCAGTTTTAAATTGCTTTATGTCAGGGAAATAAATTTTATAGTTGCATTTGCTATACTCTGAATATAAAAACCTTTTGTTTCCTTTTTAAAACAATTTTTTTTTTTAGGATACACAAATTGAGGCAAGCAAACATTTCTAAGAGTTGTTTCTTGCTTTCTTTAATCCAATGGATGGAGAGGTAAAATTGTGTAAACATTATTTTATTTTTTTATGCAATATCTTGCTGTAAATATGATTTATCAAATAAGGATGTATGTATGATTGAATCTCTGATTCTGCACAGTTAGAGTTTATCTATAAATATAAATGTGTCTTGACAATCAAGGACTTACGTCAGTCTTCCTTTATGATGTTTATTATTGTTATGCATTCCATTTGTTTGACTTGAGTACCAATGTGGAAATCTGTATTGTCTGTAAAGTATGTAATGTTTTTATAGCTTGTTTTAAAAAAATCACAAAAAAATGCTGTAAATATATACAAACTGATCACAGTACTGCTTTATGTTAGAAGGCATATAATGTTGTACTGTATGTAAGCAATAATACATGACAGTGCTAACTTTACAAGTAGCATAAGGATAGTTCCAAAAATAGTTTTGGAGTTAATAGCCTTGTTTGAGTTAATCAATATTCTTAATCATTTTTATAAATAAATTCAACTGTCCTCCTGTCGCAGTATATAACATTGTTTACACAGCACAATTTCAGTCACAGAGGAGACAGTCTTTAGATTTATGACTTCATCTATATATGCTTTAAGTAAGAAATGAATGGCTTTACTGCACTTCTGCAAGATATGAGAGACTGGAAAAGTTTAGTTTAAAAAGAAGAGAGCTGCTTTTCTGCTTCTGTGCTGATTCCTGACAATTCTTGTACTTTAATTCTGAGTCCTTAAGTCCTGATACTGACCTGATGTGACTTTGGGTTCCAATATAAAGGAATAGTTTTCTTCATAATTAATATGCAGTTAATTAGTGCAAGTTGTATGTTCATTTTACATGCTTATTTTTTAAGTCTGAGCTATCCTCAACTGATGAGATGGGTTTATTCAGATATTAAGGTGTCATAAATTCAAACTGAATAGGTATTGGGTTGCAGAATGTGGCATAGCTATTTGAACACGGTCATCACTGCTTTAAAAAAAATCACAGATTTATAAATGTAAATGACCTACATTTTATAAGAGAAATGTTTTTAAATGCTAGTCAGTTATATAATATGTGTTTTGAAGGATTTGCTAGTCCACTTCTGTCACTTTTAGTACACTGGTATCTTTTATATGTAATGTATGCTTTTTATTATTGTAGCAAAACGTTTCAGTAGAAGGAATTTTGCAACAGTATGCGGGGAAATTTTCATTGTCAGAATTGAATTTTACTGGATTTTGTCTGTTTACTCTTGTCTTTATTTTAATGTGGTCTGGAAGGGAATTTCGTATCCAAATAAAGCAGGTGACATCCTTTTATTTCAAGGGTTTACTATGTAGTGCTAAATTGAGTCTGGAATTATGATTTTGAATATATCTATATCTATATATGTATATAGCTGTATAGATATATAGATACAGGTATAGATATATTAGTGGAACACTGTTACAGTGCATTTTCTAATATAGTGTTATTTTCCTGAAGTCCATATGCCTTCTTTGTATTTCAACTAATAAATAAAAGACCAACACCCTAGAGTTATGTATTTGGCAGGATAATAAGTTTATTTCAGTGGTTATACAGTATTCTTTTAACTTACACCATCAGTTCCGTCCATTTTACTGTCTGTGTAAAAATAAGAAAAGCAAAATTCAAATTCCATCTGTAAAAATATGTATATAAGTAATAGATGGTTTTGTATAAACCTGAAAAGTATGAATTTGTATATTTCTTATGTTTCTGATAGAAATTAGGATGTCAGTCTTAGTTCCTGTGAGATCAGGAATTTCTTGAGAAAGAGGAGGGTGTGGTGTGTGTGCGTGTGTGTATGTGTGAGAGAGAGAGAGGGAGAGAGGGTGAGATGGCAAACAAAGTATAAAAGGGTTATTTCATTTCAAAGCAGTCTCTCTAAGCATTTGAATTTAATAATCCATTCAGAAGGGTGAAAATATTTTGCAGGGAAGTTATTTAACCTGAATTACTATGATCTTAGGGTTTGATTTTGCTCCCATTCAAGTTAATGGAGCTTTGGTTACTTAAGCTGGAATTATAAAAAAAGAAATGTGCATTGTTACCCTAAATAAAAAATAAATAAATAAAACTACTTGTTTAGCAGGCTTGGCCAAACTAAATTTTTTTATTAACAACACATTTTAAAAGATTGTTTTTCTGCCTTTATCTCTCTCCTAAAGCAATTTTTAAAATACTTTGGAAGTTGCTATTCCTATTGATTTGACTGTGATTGTAAATTAAATTTTGCTTGACAAAAATATGGCATGAATGATTGGATTGTTGTGCCTGTATAATACAGTGGAAGATGGTTTTATGCATAGTCATAGTGAATGATATTGTATTATTAGAATTGATTTATTCATTAAGTGGCTTAATAGGTTTCATTGCTTCTGACATAACTGTTTTCTTATGGTTAACTTAGCCATTTTGGGGGTTTAATACCCTTTTATGTATTGTGATACTAAAGGAAGTTATGTTATTTGCTTTCATTTTTAATTAATCTATTAGTTTGATAATTTATATTTGCAAAATGATGCATTTTAAATGTGGTCACTGGCTGTTTGAAAAATAAAAATATAGAATACTGTTTTATGAATTAAACTGGTTAGCAGTATTTTTCATGTTAGTTGATGTAAGACAAAATTTGATTTCTTAACATGGCAGATAAGGGCCTGTAGAAATATGTTAAGTATGCCAGAACATATCTGAATAGTTTCAACAAATAAGTGAAATATTTAAATATTTCACTTAATGGGATATAGCACTTTTTAATAGGATTTATTTCCTGTTTTCCCTTTCTATAGATGTAGCACATTATTACCACACTTGATACTAATTTTAATTCAGAAATTTTGAGTTGATTGCATTAAAGTAGAATAGAATCACAAAAGATAAATGAGATAGATTGTTATGTACACGAATGGCCATTTACATCATATGACAGTATAAAGAGGCCTTAGTATAAACGAGAATCAGACCTGAAGTACATGTCAGAAATGCGAACTTGAATATTAAAGTTTTGAATATATTGGATACAAATGCATAATATGTGTAATATATAATCTAATTGAACAAATTCTTCCTGCATTAAAGCAGACTCCTTAAAAAGAATTGCAATGCATAACATTCTGCATTTACAAGGAAGCGTATATCTTGTAATCAAAAATAAAAGCATGCCCTAGTGCTAATCTCTAAACATTTTGCATATATTTAGTGCCATTATTTTACTGAAATGTTTTTTAGTATTGATGATTTTGGTACATAGGACCATTTCCAGTAATAAAATAAGTGGAAATCCATTTGACTTTGCATAAGAAGTAGACTTGATAGCTACATCACATTATATGTAAAGAGGACACACAAAAGCATATAAACTCTTGTAACGCTTGTATGACTCGCCTTACTCCACTACTTTTTAGTCTATGCACATTGCTTTCATAACATGATTGTGGACGCAACAAAAAACATACATCCCATAAATACAGGTTGAGTACACTATGCATATAAATATGTTGCATCACTTCTAATATGATTTTATGAACATATAAACATGTAAACCTATAGCTTATATAGAAAACAATGTATAAAGAACCTCTCAAATCTTTGACTATAGGCATACTTTGAAATATGACCGAGAAAGTTGCTCCTCCTTACTCAGATCTGTTTTCTGTATTCTGTTATATTTTCTTAGTGCTGTTTATTTTTAGGAATTTTTTTTAATTATTTATTGGAAGTAAGACACCATTTAAATCTGAAATTGGTAGGCTAAGAATGTTGGATTTCATGCTTTAAATGTAAAATTGTCAAATAGTAAAATAGATCTGTGATTTTGAAAATGGGGACATTTGTCAATAATTTGATGTAATATATTTGTCTACCCTCATTTTCTTTTAAAAGTAGTACTTGCTGCAAACCAACTTGGAATACAAATATCCCCTAATTCTTCACTGAACCAATACTATTGCACAGAGAATAACACATTAAGCTATCTTTAATTTTTGCTATGGTTATCATACAGAGAAGTGTAATCATCTTGCTCTTAATACGAATTCCTAAATAGCCTGAACTATCAAAATTGGTGCTCTGTGTTTAGAAGGATACAATCCTTATGCAAAACTTGGAATTTTCCTTTTACTTCATGTGAGGAACCATCCTGAAGCTCTACTCCAGTGATCCACTCATGTAAATGGACACTGGTTATTACCAGAGTCCACAAAACAGTTAGTACGAATCTAATCCATTATCCTCACTAAGCCAGTGAAGGATTGTTTCCCACAGTAACTAGTATGATGTTTTGTTTAATCTTCTCAATACATGGATTTAAACAAGTGAAATCTTTTGTTGGATCTCAACTACTTTTTGAGAGAGACTGAAAATGGCATTAGAATATGTTTTCCTTTCAGAAATTAGTAAAGCCAGCAACACTGAAATAATGCTTCAGGTAAGTGGTGGCCTCCTCTTTCTACTTCCACTGCAGGGCTCTCCTTCTAGTTCCCATTTTCCATCACAGCATCCAAGCCAGGCTTTACATTATTAAAGATGTAGCCTGGTAAATCCAGTCTCGAAAATTCTACTCCTCCACTTGCCTGGTTTGAGCACAATTCTTGAAAGACAAGTAAAATATAATACTTTTAAATGATCTCTTGGTAAAGACTAGGCAAGTGTAGGTTTTGTCCCTGGGTTGGTAAGTTTTCATGATCGTTTTGGAAAGGGGTTGGTGCAGATCTGTTTCTTTTAGCAGGTTTGCTCAGTAAAGTAAAATTCTTTCACTCATTATAACTACTGGCATAGTGGCTCTCCCTGGCTGATAGAGGAACATACCTGTCAGCTAAGGAATCAAAAAAGGGACAGATGAAAGACTGGAGAATTGTATTGTCATCAGCTCACTCCTCTCTTATGATAGTCGAGTTATACTTATTATTTTAATGCCTATCTCTTTTGTATCACTTTTCGTTGGTGATCTCAAACAGCTTTACACAGATCAGTTCTATTATTCCATATTATAGAGGGAAAAACAAAAGCAAAGGGAAGGATGTGACTTGCTCAAGATCACCCATCAGACCAATGACTGAGCTGGAAATAGAACACAGGTCTCTCAAGGTGCATAGACCCTTGTGTGGCTGGGACTGTTTTTGGGGTCATTATTAAAGTTTGGGCACTTAATTTTAAAAAAATTCCACAACTCTGCTTTATATGTGCCTCAGCTACAGCTGTACACCAGAATCACTGTATCCTGAAATAGCATCAATTCTCTTTTTTTTTTCTGAGCTGCTCATTTAGGGAAGTTTGAAAGATACAAGTTCTAGATAGGTAGCTGTATGTTAAAGCCAGAGAGCCTTTTTGTCACAAGTTTAATGCAGGCAAGTGAAGGATGCTTGTTATTGTGGAGATGGGAAAATTATCAAAGTTCCTGTCATTGAGGGGTTGGTGGCTTCAAAAGGACTTCTTTAGGAGCAGGTTACAGCTGAGACAACAGGGAGAGGGATTGGGCCTTTGTTTACATACACTATCTAAGTTGGGGCAAGGAGGAAGGAAACAAGGATTTGCTGACAGGGAGTGAATATAAGAACATAAGCTGCTCTTAAAAATTTCCAGTGACAGAGATTCCACAACCTCTCTAAGCAATTTATCCCAGTGATTAACCATCCTGACAGTAGGGTTTTTTTTGTACTGTCCAACCTAAACCTCCCTTGCTGCAATTTAAACCCATTGCTTCTTGTCCTATCCTCAGAGGTTGAGGAGAATAATTTTTTTCTTTCCTCATAACATCCTTTTAGTTACTTGAAAACTCTTATAAATTGCCCCTCTGTTTTCTCTTTTCAAGGCCAAACAAACCCAGCTTTCTCAATCTATCCCCATAGGTCATGTTTTCTAGACTTTCAATCATCTTTGTTGCTCTTTCAATTCATCCACATCTTTCCTGAAGCTGGCACTCAAAAATGAACAGTACTCTAGCTGAGGCCTAATCAGCACAGAGCAGAGCATAAGAATTACTTTTCCCATCTTGCTTACAACACTTCTGCTAATACATTCCAGAATGTTACTTTTTCTTTTCTTTGCAACAGTATCACACTCTTGAATAGTGGTCTACTATAATTTCTAGATCCCTTTCTAGTCAGTCATTTCCCATTTTGTATGTATGTAACTGATTATTCTTTCCTAAGTGGGGTTCTTGGCATTTGTCTATATTGAATTTGTCATTATTGAATTTCATCTTATTTGCTTGATGCCATTTCTACAGTATGTCCAGATCACTTTGAATTTTCATCCTGTCCTCTAAAACACTTGCAAATCCTCCCAGC